CCGGAGTGACGAGTTTGACATGTGTTTTAGAAAACAATCAGATTTCTAAAAATATTTGAATACATCAAGGTATCTTTATAATACCTATTAAATTATGGGGACAATTTAAAAGGGTGTAGACAAAACAATAGCGTCAGCAGAGGGTGTCAAACACGCGACCTGCAACGGCAGGCAAAAAACACCAGTTTCTGCCACTGCGGCTTCTACGGCTCGTAACTCGAGAACAAAAAATCGGGAGAACATGCGGTTTGCGCCCTCCTTCATTTCAGAAACACCCCCAAAACATATATTTTTTTCGTGAAAATTAAAAATTAGACACTTTTAGCCTGCCCGATTTGAGATGAAATCACCCATATATATATACAGAGAGAGAGCGAGAGAGATTTATCCAATATGTGCAGCTTGTCATATTTTTTTTAAATATCTTATACCCTCTTCCCTTATAAAAAGAAAGACAAAACTCGCTACTGGTATAGGTGCATGCCTGAGGCACACGTACGACTATCAGTATGTTCTGTTGTTGTTGTTCTTGTTGTTTTTGTTTTTGTTTGTTTTTGTTGTTGTTTTGTTTGCGTGCGTAATGGTATTTTAGAATTAATTTGTTTTTATCAATTTCTGGGTCAGTTAGCCCGTTCTTCCTTTCCCCAACTCGTAGGCTTATTCAGAAAATAACAATAAGAATCATTAATCCAACAATAAGTACAAAAATCGAAGGTGCGAGCTAGCGGGTAAAGTTTAAACAGCCTGAATGTACCCGAGAGGGGTTTCGTAGCCAGTTAGTCGACGTTGGTGGTCATGCTTCCTGTATTCTGGGTGTTTCCTCGAGTGTTCCTCAAGGCAGTGTGCTTGGCCCGTTGTAGTTTCAACGTATATAAATGATATCGTCTAAGTTGTTAGCCCAGATGTAAATATTCGTTCAATCGCCGATGATTGCATTTTGTTCAAAATGATATCCACAGTTGCTGACCAAATATCGCTGAATTCTTCCCCCGCCTCTATGCGCTATAGGTGCCGCGCATAGGAAGTGCACCTACATTTTATGAAACCGGTTAATTTACGTATCACAAGAAAAGTGAAGCCACCGAAGTTCACTTATCAAAAAAACAATGCTGTAATGTCTGATATTTGAACACAAATATCTCGGCGTAACCGTATGGCACGATCTCCGTTGGTCACAACACATTCGAAACATCTGTTCCTCCGCTTCTCTTAAAATGGTATGGTTACGTCAGAAACTTAGAAGCGCTTCCCCTTCCGTTAAATTACATGCATAAAACTCCTTGGTCCGACGGAAGTTAGAATATGCTGGCATAGTATGGGACCCAAAGACCAAAAAGGATGCGTCACAGCTTGAGATGGTTCAGAGGAGAGCCATTCGCTTCATCTATGGAAAGTATAATCGGCTAGATTCCCCATCTTCATTAATGATAGCAAACAATATATCATCACTCCAGCATCGTCAAAAAATTGAGACTAAAATTTTTGTCTTCGGTTTATCATAACTGACTCCGCATTGAATCAATACTATATTTATCCCCATCATCATCTAGAGAAACTAGGCACCATCATCAGTATTTTCTGGTACCAATATTCGCTGAACTACCGTATTTACTCGCGTATAGGTCGACCTGTTTTTCAAAAATCGCCTCATCAAAACTGGGGGGTCGACCAATACGCGAATCCCGGTATTATATTTTTCAACTTTTTCTTTTTTTTCGGGGGTCCCGAAGTTAGGGGGTCGACCTATACGACGTATCGACCAATATGCGAGTAAAAAATTAAAATATAATATTCTTTAGTACTCCTTCTTCCCACGCACTATTACGGATTGGAACGCCCTCCCTCGCGACATCTTTTTTGCCCCCGACCTCGATGGTGCTTTAGAGAGTCACACCTTTTGTTTGTTCTCCTTTCCTGGTGCTTGTACAAGCATTTTTTTATTGTATATTAGGCGTTGATTATAGAATATTTATTACGCTGATGGCGTTCATAAGTATATATGTCGTTGTATACGCAGTATATATAGTTGCCATGTGTTTCTTGTATCTCATATCTATAGTTTTGCTGTGTGTATGTACCCCACACCTGCAGGGGCCTGTTCAGGGGCTGCAGTATGTCTAAATAAAATAAAAACAAATAAAAAATGAAGTACTACACAAACCCCGTATTGAGACTTGTTTGCGTTTGAGTCGTATTGCAAGAAAAAAGTATATTATGAGGTGGCCAAAATCCTAATATTCGAGGACATATTCCGATATATGTATTTTAAACCGCCCCATATACAGCGTGAATCGCAGAGCTCATTGGCCCTATGGAGAAACCGCGTAGGTCGGTTTCTTCGCCTATCGCGCTAAGGTTTTTGAACGAGTTGACCAAAGGAGGTGTATTTGGTGTATCGTAAACTAAAATGATAGGAGATCGGTATTTGCGCGGTGAAGCGCGCCCTCATTCGTGCCCGCTCGAACCTGTCAGCTGTCGAGCCAATCAAATATCTTTCATTTGCAAAGGGCCGCTATAGGTAGCAAAGTTACGCCCATAACTTGTTACGTTTTAGTCGGTAAACTCTTTTTCTCCTAATACACAAAATTCCTTACCCTCAGCCACATATGTACAAACTCTTGGCTCGATACATTAGGAAAGAAGTTCATGCGATCCCTTCAAAGAACCAAAAATCTCCGATTCACGCGGTAGTTAGAATTCAAAGTCAAGTCAAATTTGGGGGTTTTACGTGCCAAACCAACAATGGGCATCTGGCACGCCCCAGCGGAGGAATGAGGATTAATTTCGACCCCTGGGGATCTTTTGACGTGCAACCGAAAGCTCGGTTACACGGCGCCTTCTCCGCAATAAGCCTCCGTCAGATTGCGGGCACCTCGGTCGGGATTCGAACCCGTCACCTGGGGATCCGTAGGCCGGCGCTCTCGCCTCGGAGCCACGGAGGCGGCTGGTAGTTAGAATTCATAAAAGTAGTTGCATAACTATTTACGCTGCATTTTATTGTGCAGACGTAGTAACTTGTATAAATACTTCAGTTGCACAAAAATACTATGCAAACAAGTGCTGTTGTTCTTTTAGTTTCAGACATGACGCCGCAGAAGAAAATATACTTTAATTATGGTGACAGCGGCTACCTGGGCACTACCTTTCTCAGAGTGGTTTGCTTTTGACAGTGACTATTTCGACGTTTACAGCTAAATTATATTCAAACAATTATTTTGACGACTACAACGTTACTTCCTTATGAAGCGAATTTTTCATTTATTTTGACGTCCCGGGTAACCATAACTACTGTTTTAATGCAGTATTCCGTCAAAAAAGCTGACGAAGAAAGGGTAAAAGTACAGGCGAGCTGGTGAACCTCCATCGTAGCCGGAGACGCGGGAAAATAAAAAAAAAAACGGACAAAACAACTTGTTGTCATTTTGTTTTTGTTTTTTTTATTATTTTCCCGTGTCTCCGCTTACGATGAATATAGTTGAGTTAATCTTTTCACATCACCCGTCAATGCAGCAGTCGACAGTGGTGGTCGTTTCATTCTGTTTGGTTTCTGACGGTGTTGTCGGTGTTGTGTTGACGGAGTCGTGTGTACCTATGTCGCACGCCTCGGAAGCTTCGGTCCTACCTGATAATGAAAATCTCTTCTTCAGCGTGTATGTGTGTTCGGGAGATTATCCTTTTGGACGTGACACACCGGCGGCGAAGCTCTCCAACGCCATTTCGGCACGCGTCTTACTCCCACAGCAAAGGCGAACTAGATATCCCTGTATCTGGCCTGCACGCAGCGTAACAAATGTAAGTGCGTGCACTACACTGGTGATTTGGAACAATGCTTGTGCTTCCACGCCTCCACTACAATGCGAGCGCATTCGAATGGTTCCAAAAATCTCACTCTGAACGCAGCTCTCACTTTCTTTTAGCCGGGTTTCGTTTGTTCGTTGTTTTAGCTTATATTAGATTTTTTGTTCGTGTATAACGAATCTGGGGAAGCTACTAGACAATCAGGACGTCAAACGAAGTGTTTTGCGAATACAAACATTGTCTCCTCGATGTCTCATGTCCGGTGCAGACGAACAACAAATCTTCCGACGAGCCAAGCAAAATTTTCGCACTTAACGGCCTGCGGAGTTTTTTTTATAGGAAATGTGGAATCGACTGCAATTTTTACGAATAAATAAATAAATATATAAATGCGAATTCGGTGACGTTGAGCAAAGTGCTACCAAGTAAATCTTATGCGCGGTCTGATAGCCGAGTTGTATTTGGCAAGTTTTTTTGGATTCCCGATCACTTATAAACTTGTGTCAATAAAAGAACTGCAGTCCATTGCATGACACTTTTTGGAAAAATGCGTGACATAAACTGCAACTAAGGTTACAACTTTTTAATCGCCGCTTTTGAGCTTGGTGGCCAGATCAACGGAAGACGTTAAACTTATTAGAACCATATCTTTTTGCATTGAGGAAGTGGGGTCACAGACGTCAAAAAAATTTGGAATTACTTTGACAGTGGAAGTCGAAATAGTAACTGACTTGTTCCTTTTATATCCGCCCCTACGATGCAACTTCACTATTTGCGTCGAAAAGGTTGGGTATCGCCGCCTGGTGGAATGTTTGCACAACACAGAGCGAGGATGCATCAACATCCTCTGCTGGTGCAAGCTCGCGCAATGCCAAGATTCTACGCACTATGGATAGTAAAACATAACCGCGTGGGTAGCACGTGCACTACCTATAGGGAGGAAAACAGAAGCGCCCCTGGGGCGAGCTCCTCGTCGCGAATAATCCGTTCACCCTTGAGTTTGAGAGTGCAGCCAATGCAAGGAGCACGAGAGCACGAGGTATGGCTTTGAAACATTCTTCCACACAAAGAGCGCTCGCGCTAGAAAGGTACATCTGAAAGCCAGGAGTGCGGGCTAGCCCATGCTGTAGCCTTGGCTGTAGCCTCAGCGTAATGTTTAACGGAGTATAGCCTTCAGGACCAGTGCGCAAATAAAAACTCACTTGATTTCAACTTGTATTCTTCAAGGTTGTTGGCTCTGTTCAGCCTGGTTTGGATTGTCTCCGTTGCAGTTGAGATTCTGTTGGCCACCATTGCGATGCACTAAATTCAACGCAAGAGGAAATTTATTGTATTCTCAAGATAAATTGCAAAAATACATTTCGCAGCACATTTAAATGAGGGCAGCAGACAGTTGCTTGACATCGACGCAATATACAGGGCGTTTTGGAGCGCAGTTTTTAGGCGCCCGCTTCCGGGTCGAGCGGCGTCGGCATAACCGCACGCGTTGCATTATGGGACGTCACAGTTTTCCCGCTAAAAGTGGCGGGGAAACTGAGGTTCGTTAAGGCCACGTGACATCAATTTGTCCGCTAAATTTAGCGAGTAACTTAACCCGCTAAACTTGGCGGGGAAATTTTCGCTAAATTTACCGAGTTAGGTTTTCCCTCTAAATTTGTCGAGAAACCGACCTCACGTGACCTCTGCACCAATTCAGTTTCCCCACTAAATTTATCAGGGAACTTTCCGCTAAATTTAGAGGGAAATTTCGCGAAAATTGCACGCTTAATAGAAGGGGAGCAGGAGAGGAGGAGGGGACAATACGGAAGGGGAAAATGGGCATACCCTCCACTCCTCCTCGTCAAGAGCTGCGCTCTAATTCTGCATTACAGGCAGTGTTGGAGGTAACGCGTTACTAATAACGACGTTACTGGTAACGCGTTACATTTTTCGCTAACGCAGTAACGTAGTCGTTAGTATTCTGAATGACTAAGGAGTAAAGTGTTTCCGTTACTTTTTTACGGTATCGGCTGTCAAATTTCGTTACTCGTTACTCGTTACTTTTGACCAAGACTGGTGAAATCCGGCACGAGCTTATCTCAAAATCCTGCACCAGCTTATCGCCGCACGGAACCAGCATCCGTCACAGTAAAGTTTTAAAAAAAAACTCACTTCTCGAAGGCGAAAAAAACCTTCAGCTACCAGCTAATTCCGTCCATCCTCTTTTTTTTTTTTTTTTCATAGTGTCACCACCCACAAGGCTTGAACGAACGACTGCGTAACAGCCTCCTCCCCTCCCTCCTCTTCCCCCCTGTTTTGTGCAGCAGAAGTGGACAGGGGGGGAGGGAGCCGTGGAGAGACATCCGTTTGCAACAGTGGACAACTAGTGGCGAAGCCGATTTGCTGATTTCTCTAGTTTCAAGAAAAAAGAAAACACCCTTTGTGGAATATTTTTACCCTCGCTCTCCCCCTCGCTGCCTGAAAGTTCCTGACCCACTTTTGTACACAGAAGAATCTTTCGCTTGATTAGCCTTTAATTCCCTAAGGTCATGATAAAAAAAATAAAAAAATAAAAGTTTTAAACCTGGAAAGAAAACTTACAAACACGAAACCTTTTTTTTTTTTCACAGAAAAACTAAGAGCTACTGCTGGTAAGAGGCAGCAAGTGATTATAGCCAGTGTGCTGGTAACCGGTGACCTGTTCCAGATAGTGAAGTAAATCAGTCTCTGGTAGTAGTATTATGAACCGGACTGTTACTAAAACCGGCGTATAGATGAGGGGTGTTGGTTGGCTGGTTGTGTTCCAGCAGTCCTCGTTCGCATGCTGTAGTTTATAAAAGCCGATTGACTAACATCTCCGACTCATTCTGCGCGTGAGATGGGCATGAATAACGAAAATCCGTTGCCATGGCCAGCAGGTCTGAATGAAATGTATCAACTAAAGGAGACAGAATCAGGCAATTTACAGTTTCAATGCCTAATCTGCATGCCAAAAATTAAGCTGCTTCGCGCATCAAAACGGCATGAAACCACTCTGTAAATTTTTATCTTTATCCAATCATACATCTCTGCCAAACATATGTACTCGAACAGAAAAGTAACGTAAAAGCAACGTTTGTTATTTCTGAGAAGTAACGGTAACGGTATATCGTTACGTTTGTAAAAGAGTAACGTAGCTCGATAACGCGTTACTTTTTACCAAACTAACGAGTAACGCTATTTTGTTACTTTTTTTCGGTAACGGGCACAACACTGATTACAGGGAATTGTGAACGTCTATCACTTTTTTTTTTATGCTTTATAGATTTGTTCAAAATAAAGTCGTGAACGAAACACCAATGGAGTCTGTGCAGCAGCAAAGTGGAAAGTTGGGCCAGTTGGTTCATATTCAAAAATGTAAAAGCGCCAAACACGACAAGGACAAAGAGCAGTGGAGACCACACAAGGCCTTGTGTCGTCTCCACTTTTTGTCCCCGTCTTTTTGTGTGTGTGTGTCTGGGGGGGGGGGGGGGGGGCTTTTATATATCTGTCTGTGCAGGTTATTTCTACAACCAGGGAGCCAATATAAGAGGCTGATTGTCGGAATAGTTCGAATAATTGAGTCAGATTTGTTACTTTTTTTAACTATCGAAAATAAAGATATATAAGTATATGGTTCCAATAGGGAGCTTGCTGAGCGCCATGAAAAATCACGAAATCAAAAACTATTTATAAACAAAAAGATTTCAGCCTGTGGGTGTTTGTTCAAGTTACCAATTGTGCAACGGAGGTAGAACTGGCGGTGCAAAACCTCGGATGATATCACCCAAATTTTTGCACCACAAGCATTGCGCCTATTATCCATATGCACTGGGCATTTAGTCTTGTAGTCCTGAGAAGTATCCCTATTCGAACAAAGCTTTGCTTGACTTTCCCGGTGAATAATACGTTTATTCGAATGTTCATTACGAGTTTAAATTTCATAATAAACATTCGAATGTTCATTACGAGTGGTCGCAGCAATCGATTGCCACGTCGTGCGTAGCGATTGTCGAGCAATCAATTGCTACACCTATAGATTACTACGTCGAGTGTAGCAATCAATCGCTCGACTTAGCAATCGATTGCTACGTCGAGCAATCGTCGAGCAATCGTCGAGCAATCGATTGCTCCAGCAATCGATTGCTAAGTCGCGCGTAGCAAACGCCGCGTTCGCTACGCTGGACGTCGGACTGTAACAGAGACCCAACTACCCCCTGGCGTGTATGCTGCCTCCGCAAAAACGAAAAACAAGGCGCCGATAACGACGCTGGCCGCGAGTTACGAGACAGCGAGTTATTCCGCGAGCACGGCCGATGTTATGAGCCCAAAGGCCCAGCAAACGGCGATAAAGTCACAACGCTTTTTTAGCGTGCTGTCTAGTTCCTAGAACCAGCCGATGTTCGCCCTTTTTTTTGTGCGTGCTCCTGGGCCGGCTCTTCCTATCAAGCGCAGTGAGCAGGCCATGACGTTGCGCTTTTTGAGCTGTTTGGCTGGCCCTTTGGTATAAGATCGACCGGGCTTAGACCTAAGGTAAGTCGAAGTATAGCGCAAATCTGTCGACAGCGTCCGGTGAACAGTTCTCCGTCCAGCATGTGGGCCTATTTCATTCAAGCCATGGTTGAGAGCTCTACGATACACAGTGCCCGAGCGTAAAGTCACGTGCTTTTTTTTGTAATTCTCGGTCTTTTTTTAAACCCCGGCAAAACATTGGAGGTTTTTCTATATGAACCACTGAATTGGATCTTTCTGAGGACGCTGTACAACTATCACTGGAGCTTTTGCCCTAAATGCAATATTACCGAGGTAAATTAAAATTATTCATTTCATTGGTCAAACAAGACTTACTTACTCCAAACAACGAATGAACTTACTCCTCTGGTTTCGTCTCCCTAGAATGCACCAAACTATTGGTAAACCTCGGCTGAAATTACGTGGAACAGCCTGTATGTTTGATGACTATCGCCGTAAACAGCATTTGGCCTGATCAACGGACTTTAATTCCACTAATTAAATCGGCGATTACGGGAAAGTTTAGGGTAGGATAGATACCGAGGGTGGCTATAAAATGCGCAGGAAAAAAGTGTATGCCTGTACAGAGAAGTTACCCTTACTCCAAGCATGCATTTTAGTGCTGCATAATAACTCGCAAATTTTCAAGGCGTAATAGAACGTTTTTTTTTTATCTTTTTTAGGTGAAGGCGCCCTCCCCCGCTGGTTTCACAGCCAACCTCGTAATTTTAACCATCCTTTACTACATGCCCAGCAGGAGCATGAATTGGTCGCACAAACTGAGAAATCCAAATCACTTGGGTCAGAACACAGTTCCGTCGCGTAATTTTACTCTCCTTCCATTTCCCTACTTGAACTTTGTTGACGGCATATCATACGACAACCGGCGCCAACCGTGCCTCGAATTTAAACACATACCCTGTCATACTCACATGCCCTCAAAATCTTCCACGAAAAGATAGCAATACATGCCCAAGTATAAGTTAATTGTTGATATCCTTTTACGCATGCGAATTCTTCAGAATAATACACACCGTCGTACATACCGGAGTTCGACAGCAAATATTAAGAAACGAAAACCAGAGTCGCCACACAAAAATACGATTTTCAAGTAAGGAATGAACGTCCTTTAAACAAGCCCAAGATTTAAACGTCACGAAAAATATTTTTGTTTTTTCTATCTGAAAATCATTTTATATAGTCTGCATTATCAACACTCCAATTACATTTTATTGCTTCCACACAACACTCAATCTTGCTCGATTTAACCCATATTTTAGTGAGTTTTTACCTGTGAAATTATGGCAGCTAGGAGTGAGCATGCAATGGCAGGAATCAGTCTTCGGACCACAAAGACGAGGCTTTGTAGACAGTCCTACGGGGAATGAAAACAACAACATATGCCAAGATTAGATGGATCACTATTGAGCTATTTTGTATGATCATATAGACAACGCAACTACAAGGCAAGAAGCCTCAAATTAATAGTTTGCTTCAAGGATTTGTGAGACATTTAAATGGATCACGTTTTCCCCTCTGAAATCCACAACATCCGATAAAAAAAAGTTGCCTTACCCACCTAATTAGCCGAGTATTTTGTAAATAAGACAGGACCAGCGCAAAAAATAGAAGTAACTAATTATTGTCTACTTTAAGATACATCGCATTGATAAGACAGGCACTGGTTCTTTCGCGTTACTTTCGAGTTGAACACAGCATGTGAGCACATGTGCGATACCATCATGCTTTTGGGCGCGTGCTTTCACATCAGTCCCTTTGATAGCGCCGTACAAACTTGAGCTGATATGAATGAAAATTGTAGGATTGAAAGACCATTAATTATTACTTGCCGTCCTTTTGTCACGAACCACTGAACCTTTGATGAACTCCTAACTAAAAACACCTAAGGAGGGTTCACGCGGAACAAAAGGCATCTGGCACGCCCCATCGAAAATCTGTGAGTCCCTTGACACGTAACCTCAACACCTGTATCACGGAGCCTTGTCGACAATATGCCTCCCTAGAATATCTGGTAGCTCGTCTCTTCGAATAGGACTTGAACTCGACTTGGCAGCAGCAAGGGCACGAAGCTAGCACGCTTACAACCCGTCATTTTGCAGACCGTGGTCTCAACCTATCCAAGAACGCATCATCATCCCTGTGTCCCGGTGGCCTGCCAGACTGCAAATCTGTTGTGCTGCCATCTACCCAGCGTTGATCTTCCACGGGACAACCTGCCATTGGTCAAGAGCTAGAGGACGTCAGCCCCTCTTCGCAACAAAAGACGCACGCATCTTGTCTTCCTGTCACTTGGCAGCAGCAACGGCACGCAGCTAGCACGCTTACAACCCGTCATTTTGCAGGTTTGTTCCAATTTCTTACGTTAAATACCTCAAGCGTTGTCACCGTTGCTGCTGCCACAGCTGTTAAAAATTACGCCTGTCTGCTTTCTCTGTTCGTTTTTGAGTGATCCCCTATGACGAAGGAAATCTCCAAAATACTAAATGACCTTAAAGATGAACTTGGCCAGGAATGGAAGGCTTTTAGGGAGACATTGGAACGAGATACTAGAAGTGACATACGTGACTTACGGAATAATGTTAAAGAGGCGAAGGATAGTATGGATTTTATGAACCGCGAGTTTGAAGACATCAAGAAAAAGTTCGATACAGTACTTAAAGCAAACGCTCAGTTAAAGGAAGAGAACGGAAATCTCTTGCAAAAGTGCAATGAACTGGAAACATGCTTGCGGAACTGCCAGGATTGGCTTACGGACGCTGAGCAGTACTCGAGGAACACGAATCTGGAAATTAAAGGAATCCTCAAGAGTGATGCCGAAGTACTTCCAGATGTGGTTCGAAAACTGGGCGAATCAATTGGGGAACAAATTACTCGAGCGGATATTGGGCAATTGTAAGAGACCGTTTCCGCTGCCCGCTAAGCACCCGGATAGCGCTCCGTAAACCGCCACACGACCTTGAACTATGCAGATAAGGCTGGCGGCGCGCAGGCGCAGCTGCGGCGTTTTCTTCAGGGATATCGTAGCGGAGGAGAAAAACGGTCTACTACAATTCCCTATTGCCATTTGTCATCGTGTACCGACGCGGGACACTCAGACTACAAACATAATCCTACAGCTTGTAGACCGCAGCAAGCGCGACGCAATATTTCAGAAAGCAAAAAAGCAGCGCCTTACAAACTCTGACGTAGGCCTCGACACCAATACGCCGATATTTGTGAACGAGCATCTTTGCCCGTCATTAAAAGGTATTCTTGGCAAAGCGATTGATAAGAAGCGGCAGTCGAGCTGGAAACATGTCTGGGTGTGCAATTAAAAAATATTTGCTCGTCAAGCCGATGGTTCCCTACTCGTTCCAATCAAAAATGAAGCTGACATCGAGAAGATTAGTTATCTTATCTACTCGGTTTCTTTGTGTTTCGTTTTTTATTTGCAATGGAATACAGGGAGTTAGTTTTGTCTGTAGACCTTGGTCATTGCTTGTCATCGAAAGATAACACACTAATCTATCACCTAAATGCCCGTTCCGTAACAAATAAACATGACCGTATCATATTACATTTAGATCAGTGCTGTGTTTCTTTTGACATAATAATGTTTACGGAAACCTGGTATCAGCATGAAGCTGACATGCTCGTTTTACCAGGTTATAATCACTTCTATTTGAACTGAACACATAAACGTGGTGGTGGTGTTTCTATTAACGTCATCATTGCATTGGGTCGTTTATAAAACACCCTTTTCTTGTGGTAAAGTGTATATTGGGCAGACGGACAGATGTATTAATGTTCGAGCTCGGGAGCATTATCTGTCTTTGAGGTCTTCACCTTCGGGTCACCTAGCCCTTCATTGTGATAAGTGTGGTTGTTCCCCTCGGTTAAGTGACATTAAAATTTTGGCTAAACATTCACAAAAAATGGCAAGGGAATTTCATGACGCGTTTTACATTCGACAAAATGGTCCCGATCCATGCGTCAGTTCAGAATCAGTGACGTTATACAGTGAAGAGTTCGAGTTTCTTCGGAGTTTCGGCACGTTTGTTTAATATTTCCTTTCTCCTTCCATGGGAGTGATCCTATAACCACAGGCGCGTGCCTACATGCAGCCAGAAAAAGGTGCCGACATACCAAGAGGCCGCGTGCAAGACAGGTACGCACAGAGCATTAGGGTTCGCGCTGTGGTTTTTTTCTTTGCTCAGACCTGAGGTGGAATGATGTATAGTTATATCTTTTCCTACTATTTACTTCCTTCTTTTTTTTATTTTTTTTTTTTTGTAATGGTATATAATTTATAGTTTCTGTAAAATTCCTCATATGGCATATGACAGAGAGGATGTCCTACATGCTGGATTCTTCTTCTTTTATATTTTTCATTTCTTACTTTCTTATGTTATGTTTTAAAAAGATGAGAAAGAAAGTAAGTCGTGAGTCAGCGCTGTGTCTGTGTCCCTTCCTCTACTTGTCCTTGTGTTCGTTTGCGCTGTTTTATTTTTATGTTTACAATGCTTTTAGCAGTTTTTGTCTGGGGATCCCTCCAGTACTTCTGGAAAAATAAAGTTTATTGAATTGTATTGTATTGTAACTAGAGTCTTTAGGGCCTTTGCTCACTCTCCCGTTGAACTATGTGGCACTGATTAAGCTCTACTTCGATTACATTTGATAAAGCTGTACAACACATCACATTGCACCTTGCTATAGCAAAAGCATTAGAATCCACGACATACGTCTTGGATTTAAAATGCAACAATAGACCGATCCCACTAGGCGTTCGGTGCATCCGTGTCGCCGCCATAACTTTAGTTCACAAGAGGCAGACGGCCGTGCGTGCGAGGCCTCGTGTTGTTTCGTGCTACACACGCGCAGAGCTCCAGCGGGGTTGTCGCACGTGCCGAAAGACTAAAGTTTCCTCGATGCATTGCGGCCGCGGTGGCGTAGTCACACTGGCTGGTGAGATCGGACTATTATCGTTTTAAAACAGCTCATTAGTACTAAACTGTATTATGTTCTATCCTAATTGTAAACAATGATAATTTTATGAAGACAAGTACGTCACACTTGCCCTACAGTTGGAACTTCGGGAAGGTAAGTCGTTTTCTACCTGAAACAGCAACGAGATGATTTGGTCACCTACATCGTTTGACATTTCGTACGAGACATGGAGAGCATCAGCGAAACAAAAGTTGGCAACATACCCAGATCATAAGCGTAAGGGCGGTCATAGCAATCGTCACTTGGCCGAGAATAATGAGTCCGGTGACAACGTCCAACTGGAAAAGAAAAGCAGATTACTTCAAAATACTTGTTTGTGCGACTCTGTAAGACACGCGTGCTTAGCCACCTAGTCTTAGTGGCAAACATTCCACTATAAACATTATCCCAATTTTCTTGATTTATTAACTTCAATTGGACAACTTGCGACCACTCACGTCATTTTACGTAAACAACAATTTAAGGCACTTCTTTGATCAATCGTCCCGAATGTAGAATTCATTAGAGATATACACGCGAATCCGGGCAGCGTAACAACGTGACACCTGCTCGGTGTCACAGGACGTTAAGGTGTTGAGTGTAGTAATAAATAAAGTCATATCATGTGGCAGTCTCAAGCGACTAAACGGCGTCAAGTGACCTGAAAATATCACTTCACTGCGTGAAGCCGTGGTGTCGTTGGGTCACGTGACTTGAAGCAGTGACATTATGCGTCACCATGACTCAACATCATGAGAACACTTTCGTTCATGGAGGCTGCAGAAAATAATTTTCAAAGTACCACTGAAACCTCTCCTTCCTGGAGCGTTAAGGCCTGTTTACACCTACAGCGGAGCGCTAAGTTAGCTCTACGTGAGCTCTCAAAGGAGCGCTCATTTGGCGCATTCTAGCTCGTGACTTCGTTTTAATATAGCGCGTGATTAGCGCTTTGGTCGCGCTTTGTTAGCGCTCCAGTAGCGCCTTGTTAGCGCTCCAGTAGCGCCTTGTTAGCGCTCCAGTAGCGCCTTGTTAGCGCTCCAGTAGCGCCTTGTTAGCGCTCCAGTAGACACCTTGTTAGCGCTCCAGTAGACACCTTGTTAGCGCTCCAGTAGACGCCTTGTTAGCGCTCCAGTAGACGCCTTGTTAGCGCTCCAGTAGGCGCCTTGTTAGCGCTCCAGTAGACGCCTTGTTAGCGCTCCAGTGGCGCCTTGTTAGCGCTCCAGTAGCACCCTGTTAGCGCTTCAGTAGCGCCTTTTTAGCGCTTTGGTAGCGTTTCTTGTACCGCGGTGCTGCGGATTAGCGCGTGCACTGCAGTTCCGGTTCCTGTAGTTGGGAGTGCATAAGCAGCACCATGGCGGACATGTGGGACGCTGAAATAAATATCTGACAAATGCTCTTCCATAAGCAATGAGTTCATGTGTGTGTGGACGGCTTTACGCCCAGAAAAACCTTCTGGTTGCGCGAAATTTTTCGCCACCGAGATACCGACGGGTATAGGGCGAACTTTGTTCATATGCTGAGGGACCGAGACGCAGAGCTCTTTCGAAGGTGATTATTTTTTAACGTCTCCGAGTCTTTGAAACCAGGGTTATGCATATCGACTAGAAAACGAGGATGTCGTACCCAATCAATTAGTCGCTCAGAGTCCATGACTCTGGATCGTCTGCCCGACCCTTTGCTCTTTTGCTTGTAGAGCGGCTCTCTTACTTCCTCTTCTTTCAATGCCAAAAGAAAAACAACAAAGGAATCGCCGTGCACGCGCTGTTCAGCGCAGCAGCAAGCACGGCACAAGGAGCGTGAGAGCGCTAACAAAGCGCTTCTGAAGCGCTAAAGCCTGGTTCAGACAGTTGCATTTGACTGCGTTTGACTGCGTTGCGGCTGCGAGAAACCATGACATCCCTGCTGCTTATATCGCGTGCCAAGATAATTCCTTGAATTGGATTCCACGCTCCACACGAAGCACAGTTGTGCCGCTGACTCGCTTTCGGTTCTCGACGCAACGCAGTCAAACGCACTCAAACGCAAGTGTCTGAACCGGCCTTAACCACTCATTCACACTTGAAGCTGATCCGCATTCGCAAAGCGTTTGCGAACGCGGTTGTATAAAGATGCAGTACAATTGCACGCGCACTTGATGTCATCGAGTGCGCGTGCAATGTACTGGATCTTTATACAACTGCGTTCGCAATCGCTTTGCGAATGCGGATCAGCTTCCAGTGTGAATGAGCTGTAACAGAGTTCTGCTGAAGCGCTAACAGAGTGCTACGTCACTCGCTAGGAAGCGCCACATGAGCGCTCCTTTGAGCGCTTACGTAATGCACCGCGCGGTTACGCCTGCTTGCCTTATTCCCATAATACAACTCGCGCAGTTACACCGACGCCGACGGTGACGTCGACGGCGACGCCGCTCAAGCCGTAAACGGGTGCCTAAGAGATGCGCTCTAAAACCCGAGGCTGTCAGTTAGACTTCACTGGCTAAACTTCTTATCTACAACGTAAACCAGTGTCACTGTACTCTAACCGCCCTATTCAGAAACCTCACTCAAACTACACTCAAACTGAAGGGCCCCTCCACTTCCTCGAGGAAGGCGCGAGGGCCGGCGCTGGCCAATCGCGACGGCGGATCCGTCCTCGCGATTGGCCAGAGCCGGCCCTCGCGCCTTCCTCGAGTAAGTGGAAGGGCCCTTCAGTTTGAGTGTAGTTTGAGTGAGGTTTCTGAATTCGGCGGTAAGTCTCATGGATCTTGCGTCGTCCAAGCAGGAACGTGTAATTTTGCTTTTGCTCAGCACTCATGTTCACTTCGTGTCCCGCGTTCACTTTCCATGATTGACGTATAAAATTAAGCTCTAGTTTCTATATACTTCCGATTTGTTGGTTTGATACACTGTGGCACATATTCGTGGTCTGGAGCTTAGTCGGCGAGCATGCTCCTCCTTACAGCCCGATGCGTCGTCTTGGACACGACGACGTCGAAGCACCCCAGGAGGGCGGAAAGTGCGAGGGCGGTGCCCACCACCACCTCGGCCATGCTGAGCCTGGCCAGGTGGCGCTGGTGCGCGTGCAGCCCCCACCGCTGGCTGTCCACGCTCAACAGGTCCAGCCGCGTCAGGGACACGTAGGCCAGCGCTATCACCAGCACGCCGCACACCTACGACCAGGGAAGAGCACTGGTCAAGCGCACGTTGAGGAAACAAATGTGATTGAGCTGAATACGTATCACTATTTCTCCTGGTTCAAGAAATTATGCGAAGAAAAACGATGTCGTTGGTTTATTGTCTACACTAAGGGTAGCTTCTTTTGTTGCAATGTAGAATCAGCCGATGTAGCCGGAGACAAGGAGAGAGATTTTCTGCGGGGGTTTTGGGGCTTTTTATTAAATCAATCTGCACTGGTAAGAAGATTATGGTTCGGTTAAATCCTACAAACATGTCATACGATAGTAGCAACGCCTGGTCAATATTGGTTATGGGTCGGAAAGACTGGGCCACAATAGACCCTCGGAATCCTCTTTTTTACCAATATTGAAAAGTCATTAAAACCCCAAGCTTTTCCTTGCCAAGCCTCCGAAGGGCATCAGGTGTGCCCCGGCGAAAGACAAAATGTGAATTTAATTCACCTAAACCCGCTTGCTCCAATTTGATAAAATTTAACTCTGGCAGAAATATATCCGCATTTTCCTATGTGGGGAAAGTTTAAGTCATGTGACCGGCAGAGTAAGTACGACGGTAAAACAAGGCGGTGCCCCGCCCCAGAGAGCGTCGCTCGCTTTCAAAGCAATATGCTGTAGTCGATGCATTATAGGGCACATTTGTTAGCAAATAATGGTGCACGAGGCTTTCGCTTTGCCTCAGCTCACTTAAATTGCAAAGTATAGGAAGTATTCACTGAACGCCATATCTGTGGGTGCTGTTTAGAGCGCATGCTCAGAACGAGCTCACATCAATAGGCTGCTAAGACCGGCACTCTTGATGGTGCGGAATGCACGTTGCAAAAGAACTTAAGAAGCTTGCCGTCAGCACACGCTCAGCATTCGCGCACACAGCTATGGCCGCCAGTGAATACTCCCTATATTCAATGATCACGCCCCCTTTTTTAAATCGCCTTTCGATTCTGGCCATTCCTGAACCTAAAGGGACGCTGCAATTGTCGACAAGGCAATGTCTTTGGAATCCTAGAGGATTGGCGACTCGATCGGCCAGGTAGTCATGGCACGCCGAAGACAGACAACCTACCAATTTCCATTGGAGCCGCAGTACGCCATTTGCATCTTAACAACAAGGTTTTATTTACAGCTCTTTCAGGCTGGCCAACCATGCTGCCAGTGTGCCGCCCGCTTTTCACTGCTCACTTCCTTCTCATCGTTTATAACGCTGCATTTCATCGTCCTTTTCCGCCCTGGGAAGGAAATTTCAACACGGCTTGTCTTAACTCCGTACCTCCAAACATGAAATAATCTTCCACGCGAGGGTTCATGTGACTTATGCTATTATTTTTACCAAAAACAACAAAAAGTGTTCCTTAAGCTAAACTGTATGTCCTGCAGTTTCACGAAAACCCGGCAGCAAGCGCACCCGAGCTTTAGAAAGTTTTCATCGAAAGCCACTTATCCTCTCAACAACCAGTAGGTGACACGAGCTACCATCCTCGCGCTCTCGGCGCGACACATTTTCTCGTGCTGAGAGTGGTGGAGGGAGCGAGAGAACGTCCGAATAGGAAGTATTCACTGGCGGCCATAGCTGTGCGCGCGACTGCTGAGCGCGTGCTGATGGCTAGCTTCCAGAATTCTTTATCAACGTGCATTCCACACCGTCAAAATGGCCGGTCTTAGCAGCCTATTAATGGGGGCTCGTTCTGAGCATGCGCTTTAGGCTAGAAGAAGGGTGAGAAACATCGACGAGCTGGCACGCGCTCGGCTCTAGGGACGGCGTTCGATTTCGAATCTTCACCGTTCCGTCTCTGCTAAGCCTCCTCGCCTTGTAAAGCGTTTTCTAATAACTTCTGGGCCCTGGTCCCATGTTTTCGGGGCCAGCTGGCTGAACAATCGCCGCCACCCTCCTCAGCCTGGGAGCGGGATTTTCCCGCTCCCGGAGGGACAGTGGACCCCTACGGACCTTCGCAAGCCGACCCTCCTGGCAAGATCCGGAACCCACAAAGAAGGAAGAGCATGGCGAGTCCAGCCCACCCTTACCTGCCCGACAGCAACCCCGAGGAGACACCTGCTAAGAAGGTAGGGCTCGTTTACACTGTACCGGACGAAGAACTGCAAGCTTACTCTGCATATAAGCGAGAACTCCCGAATCTTACAGAATACATGAAGAACAAGGAAGCTTTCCTTAAATTTCAACAGAACCAGGCTGCTATTGCCGAGTATGTGCAGAATCGAGCAGTTGCTGCTGAGTATGAGCAGAACAAGGCTGCCATTACTGAGTATATGCATAACAGGGCCGCTTTCCAAGAATACAAGCGCCAAAACTCGACGGGAAACTCGTCGGCTAGTTGCAGCGAAGTTCTCTCAGGCAGTTCCAGCGCTGGAGCGAGTCAGCAACACATAGCGTCCATGGACGAAGACAGGGAGCAAGAAACAGGTGCGGCTAGACCGTGGTATCAAATGCGCAGACGCGGCAAACGTCAGAGATACTACGAGATAAGCGACTCTACGCCATCAACACCAAACTACACGGTCGTCTTAAAACCCATCTGTAGGGAAGACGTCTTCAACATCGGCACCAAAAATATAAGAGACGCCATCACTAGAACAAGTGTTGATGACAAAGAATGTTCCGTTCATGTCAACAAGAAATCGAATACGATTGCCATTACAACCAGGAATAAGCAGGCGGTTGATAAGCTCCTCACGATTGGAACCATTGAGCAGAAAGGAAAGGCGCTGGAAATGAAGCCATACGTCGCCACGTCGAGTGCCCAAACGAAGGGGGTCATCTACCTCAGGGGACACGATAACGACGAAACTCCGGAGTCACTGATGAAGGAGCTGGAGTGCAGAACTCACCAAATTTCGGCAGCCAGGATTATCGGCCGATCTGGAAGAACCGTGCTCATAACTTTCGAAAGTCAGACCCTTCCAAGATATGTACGCTATGCCTGTGAGTCTTTCAAGGTGTCGTCGTACAGGCCCAGGCCCCTCGTCTGCTACAAGTGCCACACACTCGGCCATAAGGCCGACGTCTGCCCTCAGGACGCCGTCCGGTGCGGCGGCTGCGGCCACGAGCACGACCCCGCCGTGGGATGCAAGCTCCAACCTAAATGCATTAACTGTGGTGGTGCTCATGTAGCAACGAGCAATGACTGCACTCTACGCAAGATTCCCGTCAGAAGGCAACAGCAACCCGGTTCGCGACTACAGCCCTGGCGCGACGCTGAGAGAGAATTCCTGGACCGACAAGGCTCCAGGGCCCCTGGACCCCAATTTGAAACGTCGGCTGCTTTTCCTCCCCCACCGCTGACGTCGCAGTCTCAATTTCCTCCACTGAAACCAAAGCACGAAAGCACCAACGCATGGAGCGTCGCTCTGAGGATATCGGAACCCACGGGGCCTTTTATAACCAGGGCAGAATTTAAGAAATTTGAGGCCAGATTCACGACACTCGAAAATAAGGTAGATCGTCTTTGCGGACTCGTATACGCTCTAGTCAACCCACATGGACGCTAACGCCGACATCTCAGACATCCCGGAGAGGCATTTCCGAAAGCGAAAGAAACAACATAAGATCTGGTTCATGCAGTGGAACTGTAGAGGCCTGCATTCCAAGCTCGCGGAGCTCAAGCTTAGACTCGAAATTCTCTGGGAGGAAGCCCCTGACGTAATTCTGCTACAGGAGGCCTACGTCAAGGATGTCAAGGTCCGCAATTATAATATCTACTCTCAACCGAGCATGTTACGACAGGGTGAAGTTCGATGCACGACGCTTACTCTTGTCAGGAAATCAATTCCGCAAGTACAACTCGACACGGTTCCCTACTGTAGTGACAACCGCGAAGTTGTTTCGGTGCGACTCAAACTGGAATCTATAATTGTGGACGTGATCAACGTGTACATTAGACCCAGGGTGAATGAAAACGACTTTTCCTGGTTGCGCAGAACAGTGGACCCAAGGACGCCCACCGTCGTTGCTGGAGATTTCAATGCCATGCACAATTTGTGGGGGTACGAAATCAGAAACACGAGAGGCAAAGAACTCAAGGCCACGTGCGAAGCACTCCGCCTGCAACTATACAACGACAAAGGGGCTCACACCAGACTCTCGCAGCACGACTCCGAAACGGACACATCACCCGATCTCACGTGGGCTTCCAAGAACCTCAAAGTTAGGTGGAAGACGCTGCCTGACCCTATGGGAAGTGATCACCTCCCGATCCGCATAGACCTCCTGCTACGCGAGTCTCCCAAGAGACCCGTCACCTTCATCAAGTGGGATGCCTTTCGTGCCAACATGGAGAGCCTCAGAGATCTTCCGCTTGATCGCAGAATTGTGGAAGCGGTAAATCATTCCAAGACCACGTACCAAGTCAAGGAGGGTACCCCGACGCCGGATCTTCACCTCACGAATCTCTGGGCTTCGAGACTATCGGCTCTAATGACATACAGGACGAAGAGGACACTCAGACGCAAGGTCAAGCTCAACCTGGCAACCGCCAGGGCCAAACGCTACACCCTGAAACTCTTCCGCAACCGATGGAGGGAATTGTGCAACTCATTCAATGAGAGGACTGGCCTGCGCCGGGTCTGGCGGACTTACAAAGGCCTCGCGGGGAAAACCAAGGCTCGCAACACTGGCAGCAACTTAGCCCTGCGCCTCGGAGTGTCGGAAGATGACCTAGCCAACGAAGCCGGTAGTTTCTTCTTCCCACAACAATCCCCGCCACCTGGAACTGAGATCTACGCTCCGGTTTTGGTCAACGTCGAGGAACCGGAGAACGCCCCCTTCACGCTGGGCGAACTCATCGAAGCTCTAGAGTCCGCCAAGACCAATACGGCACCTGGCCCAGACGGCATCTCTGTCACCGCCCTTCGGAACCTGCCAACAGAGGACATGAAAGAACTCCTGCAGATGTACAACGACGCGTGGGATTGCGGCAAGATCCCGGCCGACTGGAAGAAATCGACAGTCCTCCCCATACCCAAGCCCGCAAAACCGCCTACCTCAATCCAAAATTTGAAACCTATCTCGCTAACTTCGAACTTATGTAAAATCTTCGAGCGCATGGTTCAGGCCCGGCTTTCGTGGATCCTCGATACCCGAGATGCGCTTCACCCCATGCAGACCGGCTTCAGGCCGGGATTGTCTACGCAGGACAGCCTCGCCATGCTTCACCACGATATCTTCCTCAAACCACAGTTTAAGGCGCAACCCCGCACTGTCGTTGCTATCGATGTAAAAAAGGCCTTTGATTCTATACCACATAAGACGGTCATCGAGGCGGCTCAAAAGAGGGGCATTAGGGGAAAGCTCCTTAACTTCATTAAGACGTTTCTCAATGACAGATCCTTCCAAGTCGTCGTTGGCAGCACCAGAAGCCAGTGGAAGCACAATAACGTAGGAGTCCCGCAGGGCGCGGTACTCTCCCCCGCGCTGTTTAATATGGCGATGGCGGATCTGGCTTTCGCCCTGCAAGATGTTCCGGACGTCAGTTTTACCATTTATGCCGATGACGTCACGCTCTGGACTACCAAGGGCCTTGCGAAAACCCAACGGCGGAATATGCAGCGCGCCCTTGACGTTACCAACGCATTCGCAGTGCAGTCCGGACTTACTCTCTCCACCGAGAAAACTGCGTACATGGTCGTTTCCAAGACACGACGCGAGCCGAAGCACCCCATTCGCCTCCAACTGAACGGTGCCAACATTGAGTCTACTGACACCCTAAAGATTCTCGGCGTCACCTTCGACCGATCTGGAGGCGCGTCAAGCTGGCTCAAACAAACCAAAGTTCGGTGGAACAAAGGAATCGACCTTCTGAAGAAAATTACCAGCAAGGCATGGGGTGCCCAAGAGGACCTTCTCAAGAAACTCGTCAGGTCTCTTCTGGTTTCTAAGGTCGTCTACGGTCTGAATTACCTGCGCCTGACCAAGACCCAAGAAGCAGCGCTGATAGTACTCAACAGAAAGGCAATGAGAGTCATTACAGGCTTACCCAAGTTTACACCGGTTGAACAGCTTGAAGCTGCCGCACAGATCAATACTCTGCGTGACATTGCCAAGGAGATGGTCATTGGGCAGGAAAATCGCCTATCCAGATCTCCACCGGGCAGAATCATTCTCACCAAACTCGAGAAACATGAGCTCCTCGCAAAAACAGCAGCAATGCCAACTCCATCTCCGCCATGGGAGAACGAGCTTGTAGTCCCGATCAAACCAGTACCCAAGAATCAAGGAAAGGAACACAAAGAAAGGCGCAAGCACGCGGCGGACAAACACCTCGAAGAGATAAATTCACTGACCGGCGCCGAAGTCATGTATGCAGATGCTGCCAGAGACGACGCGGGCCGCTCAGCGATTGCATGGCACTCTGTCTCCAGGAACACCACATGGAGTGGCATCACGCACAAAACCAGCAGCACGAAAACGGCAGAGTTATTAGCTCTGCTTCACGCCATCCAAGAAGCGGCACATACGCTACCCCGAACAGTCACTGAAGCACGCATCT